TTGGGGCTCTGCTTTTGTACCAGTGCCACCCCTGGACACCTCTGCAGCCTTCAGACCCCACAACACCTCCAGCACCAGAGCCAGGAGCCTCTTTGCTCACACACTGACCTCTGCATCTTCTGCCAAAGCCTCTTTTCTCCAGACCCAAGCACAGGATAGCTTTCCCCAATGCAGGCCGCACAAATTGCAGCAATTAGCAAGTGTAAAGTGCATGCTGTGGTTTTTTGTATGTTATTACTGTATCTTAATACTCATTTGTATCCTTGGGCGTAGTCATCAGATAGTACCCAGCAGGATACGTTATCCAGACCTTCCCCTCAACACCGCTGCTCCTGAGCCTCACTGGAGAGACCTAGTTTGTCAGCCTTCATGCATCCAACCACCATTAATTAAGAAGTCTTCAGGCTCGAGCCAGCATGGCTGTCACCCTTGCTAACCCCATGCTATGTGGACGTGATCTCTAGCTCTTCCCTGGCTCCCAGTCTCTTAACGGTGACCCCATCATTTCCCCACCACCACCTCCCCTCTGCCATGCAAGTCCTGGCAGAGCCCAGCATTCCCGACATGATTTGCAAGGGCAGCTCCAAGTCCCATTCGCAGACCATCGCCCTCCCCTGCACAGTAACAGTACAGACTGAAACTTCAAACCAGTTTATAACAGTCCTCCAGGCATATTTCTACTGTTCTCCACTTCTCCAAGTTCTTTCCCTCTCTGCCTCCTAATTTCCTGACTATGTTGATGAGGCAAATTCTGTCAGTAGCAGGAAGGTGGGAGTGTTTTGGGGTTTTTTTTCTAAATGGTGTTTATTGTGACTTGCAATCTGGCACACCATGCCTACATACAAGTGATGCTAAACAAAGGCTGGCGAAAACTAGATAGTAAAGTTCCCAACTGCCTTTAAAAACAACAACAAAGAAACCCTATATGACTTTGCACTCCTCACCTACAGAGAATTTCAGGAAATGAGGCAGCCTCTGTTTTTACAGTCCCCAACTGCAGAACTGAAGATGTTTTGGTACAAAAGCCGCATCTAGCCCATAGCAAGGGAGCAGCCAGTACAGTTGCTGGGACACCTACAGCTGTTGTAGGAATTACAAAGGAGGGAGGCAGCTACTGGAGTGGGACCTAAGCCACCTGGAGCCGTGCAGATCAAAGGCATTGTGTTACTCCTTACCAAGAGACAAATGGCACAGGCAGCCGTACATGCTGCCTGTAATTTCCAAAGACAGCTAGACATGTTGAAGGTGGATAGCACCAGAGTCGATTGACTCTGAAGCCAAAAAATAAGTGACAGCTAATGCCTGCAGCCCAGAGGCGTGGACCCAGTCCACAAGGAGCCCACAGCAAGCATCCATGACAAAAAGTACTTGAGGAGCAGCAAGAGCCACTGTAGGTGTCCCCCTGCCCCATAGTAAGAGCTGTAAGTGCAACCTGGAAAGTATCCTGAGGCACACTCTGCCGTGCCACCTTACATGGGACAACAGGTATCTTGTCCTTGTGGGTCCTTCTCTCTGCCCTGGCACAGGTCAGCCCTTTCTTTCTGGCCACCCTGAGAATCCTGTACGCTTAAATCAATGAGCCAAAGCATGGAGAAGCCCTCAAGTCAGAGGCACATGTGTCTGAAAACTATAATGGCAGAAAAGGCTATTTACCTCTCTTACCCTTGGCTAGGCTATTACCAGCCACAGCGAACTGCTAGGGGACACAGTTGCTAACCCTACAAGAAAGAGCATGGACAACTCATCCATGGTAAATCCAAGGAAGCAGAAAGGCCCTGCAGACTAGCTGCTGCTATATGCCCAAGATGCAATGAATGCTAATGGTATCGGATCAGGCAAATCATTGCTGGAGGCTCTCATGTACGCTCTCTCTCTCTCAATTACAGAAAATAAACTTCTGATGCTGCCTGTTCTGCTCTTCTCTATGCCCTGCATGACCTAGCTCATGGTTAGTTTCAAAAAGTAAAACACCCAGTGACAGAGCATTTATCATTAATAAACTCACAAGAGAAAAATGGTGCTGGCTTCCCAGAACCAGTGCACGAGAAGGCCAAGGGAAGTACACAAGTACTGTGAGTGAAGACCTACTTTTAGCACAGCTTCCCAGTTGTTTGTCATACCAACAGCACTGTGCAACTAATACAGCTATTTTCTTCATCAATTATTAACTGGGCAAAGACTATTTGTTTGAAGAGCTGTGCGGAAAGTCCAGAGAGGAAGCGAGCAGTTTCAAACTCCATGCTCCACATGCACACTCTACAGTAACTTGGGATCCCCTCCAGATCAGATATGCCTCGCTCTTCAGGGGCTGATGGCTCTGCTTCCAGCGGCCAGGAAGGAGGCAGGCCCAGGCATTTGCTGCAGCCATGCATGGGTCTTCCAGGCAGAAGCCCATCTCTCACATGGGCTCCATCGCCTTTTGTGCCCAGGGGCAAGGCTGTGGTCAGGAGAAGGTATCTGAAGGCCATTGAGCAGCCCTGGGGCTGTGCCCGAGGCTCTTCTTTCAGGCACCAGCACGCAGACCACACTGCATGCTAGTTATGTTAGCATCTGCTGCACAAACTCCCCATAAGCTTTTGCACCGTTCATGGGAACCAGCTGCTACCAGCCACACTCCTGTTCCACTACCCTTCCTCCACCTAGCTTGCCTTTATTGCCAGACCACACAAGAAAGGGTGTTGCACAAAGCCAACAGCAGGGAAGGTACATCAGTGAAAGCCTTGAGGTATCCTGCAGCTTTGGTTTGGCAAGAATTTTTCCAACATGAATTAGGAAATGTCTCTCCTGAATGTTGAGGCATGTCAAGACAGCTGAAGGACCAGTGGTTCGGTAACAATATTCCACCCCCGATTTGGAAGAGAGCTGGAACAGTTTCAGATGAAGAAGAGCGCCAAGCTTGCTCCAGAGGCAAGCTCAGTGGTGAAAACACAAGACAACACCATGAGCAGTGCTGGCAAAGAAGTGTCCCTAAACAAAAACACCAGCTTCAGAAGTTTCTGGGATTGCTGATACTTCAAGGGGTACAGGGGCTTGAATGCAACAGTGGGATGATCTGCATTAACACCAAGACTTTGCTGGGGGTCCATGTTCCTCTGCCATGCAAAACACCAAAAAGCTGCTCTGCCAAAGTGGAACGTACCACAAACAAGCCAGGCCCAATTTGGGAAATCAGTACCACTTCAACATCCCACTTCAGCCTCACTCAGAACACACACAGGCTCTCCTCGAGGGGAAAGGGGCTGTGCAGGAACACCAGGCACAGCACGAACAAAAGCCAACCCAAGGTTTAAGCTACACTGATCAGAGAGAAGTTTGCAGGAACAGACTGAGCGACTCAAGATGGGAGGAGGACTCTGTAAGAGACAGAAAGGGTTAGAGGCCAGAAAGGTTAGGTCACATCAGGTATTTGTTGACATTGATTTGTGCACCCACATGCTTGCAGGGCTGACCCACTGAATCAGTGAGGAATGATGGAGGGGTACCTGAGCAGAGAGGTGTCCAGGAGGTAAGTATCTGCATCCTGTGTGATCTGATCTAGGTGTTCCTGCTCCGGCAGGGGGATTGGACTAGATGATCTTTTGAGGTCCCTTCCAATCTCTAACATTCTGTGATTCATTTGAGTGGTTGTCTAAAACCAGTCCCTTGATTTTGTAAGTAAAACCAGCTCCACTGTCAGTTTCTTGAAAAAACTTGGGGTTTATTGATTTAAACTGCAAACAGTCGTTACAAAAGAGATTCTCTTTTAAATAAACTCACACAAAGAGGAAGAAAAAGCAATGTAGTGAACAGTAACAGGGGGGGAAAAAAAATTACATTCATTATTCTCTTTGTGCCAGTCCCATTCACCTTGGCAAGGAAAACTCCAAACTTGGAATACAGAAATGCAAAGACAAACTGTATTTGGAATGTCTTCAGATAGGCACTTTGAGCCCAAGGCTTTTCTCCTTGAAGAATCTATACAAAAAGAGGAAGAAAAAGGTCCTCCTTCCACGCTGTCTCGCAACAGGAGCTCAGGCATGTACATTCTAAAGCCCAGGTAGGCAAGACCCAGGGGAGGGGAAGAGAAGAGGAAAGGCAAAGAAGCACATTAACTCAATTTGCAGTCCAACACAAAAAAGGGGGGGGAAATTCTAAAATAAATAATCCAAACACAGTTTTTGCATTTTTTTAAATTAATTTTTCATTTTTTAAAATAAAATAACCAAAAAAAGTGTAAAGTTACAAAAAATGTCATTGTAGTATAATATATTAAACTGTGGGGAAAAAAGGAAAAAAGACACTTCACAATCTTAAGATTAATATGGAAGATCATAATTTAAACATAAAAGAATATATTCTATGGATTCATCATCCCGATAAATATGAACAAAATTAACAAAAAAGCATAGGTTTCGGCAATAAATACGTTTTGATAAGTTAAATAAGCTTTTTTATATTGTTGTGCAGTGACAAGCAAAATTTGCTCTCCAATTTCTGAAAAGTTATACAAAATTAAAAACCCAGAAAAAAATAATAAAAAGCTTGGCGTGAGTGCTCTAAGATAGGTCTAAAGTACTCTAGAGCAAAACCATTAAAGCTATGTCTACTGGAACTTTGTTTACACGAACTTGTGTGTGTGTGTGTGTGGAATGACTTCTGTCGGCCCCACCCCCTCTATTTCTTTATTTGTTTTAAGATGTCACATGAACACACGGGGAAACTTTTAGCACCAAAATCAAGTCTCTCATTGTCCATCTGGCTTTTGTTTTCTTTTTTGTTTTGTTTTCTTCCTCCCAGTCGAAGTCCCACTCATGTTACAATCTTTGTCCGTTCTCAGCTTTTCTTCCCGCAGACCTGAGCTGATCCAGGCAAGATTAGTCTTTAAGGGGAGGGGGAGAAAGAGGACTAGATGTTAACGCTTGTCCACATGCCTGCAGCCTAGCAGAAACTGGCCAGTTGGGAAGGGACTGGGAGAGGGCGATGCAGTACATGGCCAGTGGAGGGAGCTGGTTCCGGACATTTCCTGCACATCTGGAAGTGCACAGAGCTGCTGGTGCCCTCTGCAGCTGGAGAGGTAATACAGTCACAGTGAAAGTGTTAAAAAGGCACTAATTTTGTAAACGTTATTGCTTTCATCGTAATTTGGCACTTAAGGTTTAAGCCAGTGGGTCTACGGCAGGCAGGTGGACAAGTTAACATCCAGCTCAGTCTACTGGGGACAGGGTGGGGGGAGTTCAGCTTAACATTGTAATAGAGGTGGGGGGGAGCAAGAGGAAACCCCAGATTAGTCGTCAGAGATGGAGAGTCTGCTGAAGATGGGAAGACGTCTTGAGGTGTCCAGGATAGGGGAATCTGAGCCGCTGTGGCTGCTGCTGGAGCTGCTCAGATAGCCCTCCTGGTCAGAGAGGGAGTCCTGAGGACTGGGTGGCGAGTCAAACATGTTGGGGGACTCGGACATGGGCCTGAACAAGAAGGTGGTGGGGGAGCTGCCGCTGGGCACCTGCACCCCCATGCTGGGGGCAAAGAGACTGACCAGCTCCTGGCTGGAGAAGGTGAAGGGGTTGCTGGCGCAGTCAGGCAAGGTGGGGGAGCCCAGCAGGTCGTCAGCGCTCAGCATGGGCGGCGGGGTGATGGAAGTGGGGCTGTCCAGCAGCCCGCTGGCAGCAGTGCTGGGGAA